GGGGGGGGGGGGGCTCATTTTGGGGGAAAGAGATGGATGATTTAAAAGTTATACACCCCGAGAATCTGTTACAGAACAGAAAAGCACTTGATGAATGTTCATAGAGGAAGCCTGAGCAGACATAGGCCATTGCCTCCCGCATCTAGTTCTTATCACGTTCCCTTCAGACACTGGGTTTCACCATGGAAAATTTAAAAACCGCACCACCGCAACAGCAGAACATTGCTCATGAAAGTGCAGAGCAACAATAATGAACAACTAGTAAGAGTTTGTGCACATACTATAGAGTTTATGGAACTACACAAATGTTCTAAATATATTTCATGTCTTCTGCTGAGCCTTTAGGATTATTTATGGGGAATTACAGTCGCTTGTCAGACACCGTGTAAGGCCAAGGCGAGCAGATGTTACAGTGTAATGTTCTATTTAAGATTACGTGAGGGTCTTGAAATTCTTAAATCCTATTTGAACGACCGGCTGCTCTACAACTGTGCATCAGTTCGCTGGATTTAATTGTCTGCTCAGACATGACAAAAGCCCGAATTTTCACAGGACTCATCTTTCTCGAGCATGTCCAGTGATTTGTAATGATTCAGAGATTATAAGTGATTTTGACCCCATGCAATGTCTGTAATTTGCAAAATACATTTTCCATTGTCTACTGCATTTACCAAAGACAGGGGGCCCTTGGTAATACTAATCCCACACAGATCAAATTCTGCTTAATTTCACCCGTAATTCATTTTTGGCACTTAATTCCTTTCATTCATGAGAAATGGAAGCATTAGTGGAAGCTGTTGGGAAATGTTTTGATTAATTTTCAGCAACACACCTGAAGTTATGCTTAGAAAAGTGAACCTTGCGATGTTATTTTTGTGCACCGGCGAAGTCATTTTATTTAATTTCCCTGTAAGAAGTCTACGTTTCTCCCATCCCATCTGCCCAAGGAAATGATCAAAGTCTTTTACAACTTTTACGAGTTTGAATGCCGAGCAAGGCATGTACACATTTTCTGACCTTTATGTGTTTGTGTGTGCTTGTGTGTGTTTTTCCCCACTAGCAGACATGTCCTCTCCTACTATGAAGAAGCCAGAGAAGCCGCTGTTCAGCCCCACCTCCCCGCAGGACTCCTCGCCTCGACTCAGCACTTTCCCTCAGCCTCATCACCCAGGCCTAACAGGTGTAGGACACAGTGGTGAGTTACTGGTGACTTTGAACACCGGCTCTCTTGCTAAATCTGGAGCTCTAATCCACTTTTTCCTCATAAACACAGTCGAAAAATCTGTCGATACTTAATTTACCCCCTCAGATCAATGATGATCGCTTTATCTTAACGCTCAATCTTTATCTTCCTCTCGACTCTTCTGTCTGTCTCTCTCTTGCAGTTATATCGACGAGGAGCCCCCCTCCGCACTCACCCCTTCAGTTCTCGGCCTCGGCTATCTTGCCCCCGGCGCCATCACCCTACTTCTCGCACACCACCATCCGCTACCCTCCCCACCTCAACCCTGCTGATTCCCTCAAGAGCTACGTGCCGTCATATGACCCGTCCAGCCCACAGAGCAGCCAGGTTAGTCTTTCTTTTTTTTTTCTTTTTTTTGGGGGGCTTTGAAGATGCTAGTGTGTAGGCAAGACTTTCATGGCCTCAAGTAGTTCTTTGTTATCTTGTTCAGCTCTACTTCATATCTGACTTCAAGAGATTAAAGATAAGATAAATTATCGCATGCACTTGTTATTCTTTCATTGGTGCATTTGCAAGTAAAGAAACATCCTGTTTGCTTGTTTCGAAAGTTGTTCCTGTTCATTCTCTTTATTTATGGCGAGTGTTAGACTGACATGTTTTTTCTTAGTGCTTTTCTCAAAACTAGACTCAAAACTTTAAGTCCTTAAGCTGACCACAATATGATAGGATTTTTCCTGGGAACCCCTACATAGACACATGTCTCTTCGTGTAGTACTGGGCTGCCTGCTCTGTATGCGGCGACACACCTATAATTACAATATCCATCGTCAAAATAGTTAACTAATTTGAATAACTGACAATGAATTAAATCATAGTTAAATGAAACCACTTTTCATTTGGCAGGCAACCCCAAACTGAACTTTGCGGACCACTTCATGTGACAGAGAAGCATATATTTTCTGTTTGATATAATGCTCATGGCAAGGGTTATAGTACATTCCCAGTCATATATTTGTAGTTGTGCTAAAAAAACAACAACCCGATGTCTCCATAAAAAAGTCAACCAAACTATTGCAATTGCAGTCACACGTGACATACAAAACTGTATCAAGACATTGTAGTAAATCAAATAGCGTAGAGCTTTTATACATTCTAGATACAGTGTGACCAGTGTGTTGGAGAGAGAGAGAGAGAGAAAGAGAGAGAGCAGGCGTCTCTATAGATGAGAGAGCAGTGTGATATTTATGTGAGTTTTATATCCCCGCTGTTCTCACTGTAAACAAAGGCCTCGTAGACGGCTCCATCTCCAGAGCAGGGAGCGGGTTGGGGGGGTGG